GGAGCTCATAGACATCTACATCGTAAATGCTGTGGCGGTACCTACCCGTGCGGACTCACAAGAGGTCCTATCACCAGTAATTACGCAAACTCTAATTGTGCGGGTTTGATTTTTATTACACGATGTTATTCCTTCACCGTGGAAGTCAATCGTGAACATTTATTAAGTACGTATTTCATTAGAAAAAATTGTACCCGTCTGCGGGATTCGAACACCGGTGCATCATCGCTAGATACGAATGCACCGGTTATCCTTTAGGCCACGACAACTTCACAATAGTCTAATAGGCTAATAAATAAAATACCTTTATATTATAAGTTAGCAATACCAGATGAGCACTAGCTATTGCAATCTTCATGTTGTGTCATTGACGATGTGAACACAAACTCATAGCTGTGAGGCTTTTGAGAATGAATTAAATTTTATCGCATCAACATATAACAGTTTGTTTTGTATCTGCATTTCTGGTATTCCTAAAAATTGGAGAAAATCATAGCTCAGGATCTTACAAGCATATACAAGCGTCAACTTATTTCGTCGCACGTCTCCAGGGTACTTAGTGGGTGAGAGTGGTGGTATACCGGACAGCTGGTGGTACCGCTTCCTGTACCGCTCCGTGCTGAATGCGGTCGGGCTGGGCGTGTCCCTCGCGGGCGCTTCGCTGTTCGCCAGGACCAGCCTCGCCATCTGGGTCACGATGCTGGTCTGCTTGGCCAGCGCCTTCTTGAGCTTCTTCATCACGAGTCCTGCGCAGGTAACCGGGGGTCTTTAGTCAATTAACTTTCTTTTTTTTTATCCTACCTATGCTGATAGCTTTGAGAGGCTATTTCAGCTTCGCCCTAACGTGTGTAGGTGAGCTTACGGGGTTCAAACCGGAGTGTTGCTAACACTGACCCTAGCAAAGCAGTGCTTCGCAGAATCTATCACCGGATCGGAAACGCGACCTACTGAGAAGATCCAGTGAGAAACTCAGTGGGCTGTGTCTGTAGATTAATTCGCTCGTCGAGCCCTTCGTCGTAAGCGACGGGTTCGACGAGGACGGTGACCGGTGCTTGAGGTACCTAAAAGCACCGTTAATGGATCGGGAGGATCCGTAATGACGTGTTTAGGGCGACTTCGACTGTTTACCATTCGGTCTACAGGATCGGGTATGATTAACTAGTAATTAATTACTAATTAATTAGTAATTTAACGGCCGTCTGGTGTAGTGGTAAGTGACATGGTTACTACACAAGGGGATCACGGGTTCGAATCCCGCCAAGGGAAGATACTTGTATGATAGACATAAAATGTCTTTTCCAGCGTTATGGATGTATATTAAATATATGTTTGTGAATCATAAAAATCTTACATTTGTAACACAAGGTCTTTACGATCTTAGCACGGGACCAGTTAAGGTGACGTATGTTTAAAAAAAAGAAATGAAGTTATTAGTATATTCCGGTTTGAAAAGTGGAATAGTCGTTATATTGTATACAGGAGACTAAAACCCCAAGTCTCTAAGGCGTGGTGGTGAAGTCTATGGGGTTAAGTAAACATTTTTATCAGCCCACAGACGTCCACTGCTGGACATAGGCCTCCCACACACCTCGCCATAACGATCGGTCCTGCGCTGCTTGCATTTAGCGGGTTCCCGCAAACTTCAATAGATCGTTGGTCCATCTTGTGAGACGGACGCTACGTCTTCCGGTACGCGGTCGCCACTCAAGAACTTTCTGGTCCCAACGGCCATCGGTTTTACGAGCAAGGTGCCCTGGTTACTGCCACTTCAACGTCGCAGTCCTTTAGGCTATGTTGGTTACCATGGTTTCCCTGCGAATCTCCTCATTTCTGATTTGATTTCGTGGAAAAAAAAAACACGCACGGTTATCAGATCCAAATTTAGGATTCCCTGTGCTATAGGCACTGTTCAAATTTATACATATGTATGTAGAAAATAAATACCCTGATAAAGAGCAAATAAATCTGTTCATCACGCGAAAGTTTGCCCGATGTGGGAATCGAACCCACGACCTCGTCGCAATAGTCAGTGCCGGTAATTACTGCACCACCGAGCCAGTCAGTTATGTGAGGGTTCAATGGTTTCCCGCACCAGTATGTGCCACAAGCCATGCGTTACGTTATTTTTTATTTGATCTCGTAGGGAAACTCCGAGCATAGCTCTCCCTATTGCTCTTTGGGTGACCTCGAACCTTCTCAAAAGGCCCATTAACACTACCTAATGCCACTTCAACGTCGCAGTACTTTGGGCTATGTCGGTTACCATGGGTTTCCTGCGAATCTCCTCATTTCTAATCTGATCTCGCAGGGAAACTCCGAGCATAGCCCACTCCATTGCTCCTTGGGTGACCTCGAGCCTTCTCATAAGGCCCATTATAAAATAAATAAAAAATAAAAAAGACCTTTACTCCATGAAATAACATTTTTTTTTGTATATTTTTTGTGACATGCATGGACCTCTCTCAGGTAAAGGCCTCCTCCAAAGATTTCCAGTTTTGTTTTGTCTCCGGTGACATAAATCCAATGTGGTCCAGCAACTTTTCTAATGTCGTCCTCCTAACGCGTGTACGGTCTACTGACGCGCCGCTTGCCCTGTGTACCGTCCCATGCAGTTAATTTAGATGTCCATCTCCCATTAACATTACCTAACTGTCGTGTTTCCAGATCGAGAAGCCAGATTCGAATCACTTAATAAACACGACGTACCTGAACTACACCGGGCTGAGCGTGTCGACGCTGGCTTCGAACCTGTACCCGCAGTACGGGCGCGACTACACGACGGCGAGCGGCCAGCTCGTGGACTTCGCGTCGGTGCTGGGCGTGCTGTTCACCGGCGTCACCGGCGTCATGGCCGGCGCCAACATGAGCGGTGGGTGACAGAGTGCTTCACGGCAGAAATGAAAACATTAGATTTTTATTAGAAATAAATAATAGTTTAAAAAAACAAAAAAAAACACGCTTTTTTATAAAATTCAACAAAAAAATAGAAAATAAATTTTAATAAATTTAAAGGATCGTGCTCAGTGGCGAACAATTGGAGAGGCCTATGTCTAGCAGAGGACTGCTATAGGCTGATGATGATGAAATTTAAATTGAAAATAGTATAAAAAATCTATATATATTTTTTATTTAAAAAAAAGGAAATTTTCAAGGTTCATCCAGACGCCCTGAAGTTCGTAAAAATGGCATTGAAAGGTCGTGCCCATAAAATTAATCCTTTACCCTCAGAGGGTTAAAACAAAAGGCTTGTGGAAAACCACACCCTGTATACGGTGCGCTTACAGCCGATGTTGTTCCGTAGGGGAATTAAAGCACCCGTCGCGCAGCATCCCGCGCGGCACGCTCGCGGCGCTGCTGTTCACGGCCGCGTCGTACGCCGCGCTGAGCCTGCTGACGGCCGCCACGTGCTCCAGGGAGCTGCTGCAGAACAACTACGTGTACCTGCTGCCCATCAACGTGTGGCCACCCTTCATAGCCGTCGGTACGTTATTTTTTTTTTATGTGATTTTATGACTTGGTACAGTACGACCGACGTAACTTGGCGAGTCTGAATATAGCCGCAGGTCAACTTTCGCGCATGTACACTCGTAAAAAAAAGTGTTATTAGCATTCATTTTTTTAAATCAAAATACGAATTAAAATTTCCATATACAGGGACCAAGTACAAATAAAATGAATATCAAAACACTATGAGAGAGAAAGCTATAAAAATAACGTAATAANTAGAAATGCTTTGCATGCGGGAGAATATCCTATCTCTTTTGGCATATAACATCTTTAAATTAGTATCTGAAGGTGCCATTTTAAGATAAACGTTAATAAATATTTCAAATTAACAAACTAACGATATTCGAAGCGGCGGGAAAGGTAAACACCTACCTACGAGTACAAATTTATGCGAATAGTACAAATGTTAATAAATATTTTATAGTCGAAGCGGCGGGTGTTATTAGCACACAGGAATACCCTACTACCCGTCGCCTGGCGTTTCCTATCTATCGCCTTTTACGATATCCCAGGAAGAGGCGGGAGTGGTGTTATTCTACTTAAGGTACCCGACACCACACGGGGAACCTACCCTGAATACCTAAACTAATGTATGCGGCCGGCTCGAGGCGTACGCTCGACCGGTGATCTAAACAAAGAATAATATAAGAAACCAGAACGCGGGTTTTCTATCTACCTAATTTGATATTGTAAATTGTAAGAAATAATGTGAACGAAAACGATATTTAAGACGAAAGCAGGAAAGCGATATTTTTTCGAAGTACCTACTTGGTACGCGGTTCTAATTATATTAAGTAAATTAGGTAACCTAGGCAATGGTTGGCGCTGATTTAATACGAATCCGGCTCGTTTGGACCAAAAAATGTATACGCGAAATAAGCAACTACGAAAATATTTGAAATTTGGTCGTTGCAAATGAAGGACACAGACTGCGGAAAGAAACGATAAGAAGTGGCAGTTCTGCGTTAAAGGAAGGATGCACAATACCTTTATGTAGTCCTTGCTGCAGACTCGTACCACTTCGCGATGAGAAACACCAACGATTTCACTTATTTACGTATTTAACATAACAAAGACACGAAGCGCGCGCGCGGTTGTTCAGCCATATTTTTTCGTCTCTGATGTCACCACACGATCTCGCTCGCACGCGTCCGTAGGTAAAGTGCCGGAGAGGGATGGGACAGGATTTGCAAAACCAAATTAAAAACGTTGCTATTTTTCGAAACCTAAAACTAACTAAGTTTTAAACCAGCGCAACCAATAAGCCTTGTACAAGTCCAATGATTCTCTCAGTTAACATAGTTTTAGGCAGCGGCTTGGCTCTGCCCCTGGCATTGCTGACGTCCATGAGAGACGGTAACCACTCACCGTCAGGTGGGCCGTATGCTCGTCTGTGTGCAATGTATGAAATTTAGCTGGCAACAACAAACTTCAACCGGTCACACGAGAAACGTGTGGGTCTTTTTTGATGCGTGGTGATTTTCAAATTTCAGGATACGTGGAATTCGGGGAGTTCCGGGTCGAACGTCCCGGAATCAAGAAGGTCGGGACATTCGCCGGCGTCTTCTGTCCCGTCGTGTTATCTATGTTTAGCGCTCTCGTGTTTATACGAATGGGTGAGTAGAGTACAACAGACCAGAGTACTTTCAGGCACCTTTCTTCTTATCAGCCCACAGACGTCCACTGCTGGACGTTTAGGTCGAATAGAATTAACAAACAAACAGACGATAGATCAACTGTAATTGAATACATCATCATTCTCCTGCCCTTCTCCCACTTAGCTGGGGTCGGCGCAACATGTTTTCTCCTTCCATACTCCTCTATCATATACCATTTCGTCACTCACTCCCCTCTTACACATATCGTCTTTAACGCAATCCATTCATTTCTTCTTAGGTCTACCTCTTCCTCTATATCCTTCCATATTCATAGTTAACACTCTCTTACCAACCTCATTTTCATTTCGTCTTATCACCTGTCCATACCATCCTAAACGCCCACTTTTCAGCTTCTCTGTCACAGGTGCCACTTTTAGACTTTCTCTAACATTATAACCGTAATTGAATACAGTTGTTCTAAAACTTCCAACGGTTTTTTTTATTTACAAAAAATATCATCTCGATTTAAAATTACTGTCTTAATTTTGGGATTTCGTCACAAATACACTTCGGCAGCTGCGAATCAAGGACCACAGTATGACCGCGCGATGGACGGCAAAATATGAAAACGATTACACTTCCCATTGCAACAGCTCAGGAAAGGGAGTTAGATTTTCCTAGTTCATAGGTATTTTATTCCTGAGTCTCCAAAAGCAATATATATCGGTTCGAAAACTAAATGCATCAATTTCGATGCGATATTCTGTTTTTTATATATTTGAGTCGACTTATAAATACACTGACTTATAAATTCACTGGTGGTAGGACCTCTTGGGAGTCCGCACGGGTAGGTACCACCACCCCGCCTTTTTCCGCCGTGAAGCAGTAATGCGTTTCGGTTCGAAGGGTGGGGTAGCCGTTGTAACTATACTGAGACCTTAGAACTTATATCTCGAGGTGGGAGGCGCATTTACGTTGTAGATGTCTATGGGCTCCAGTAACCACTTAACACCAGGTGGGCTGTGAGCTCGTCCATCCATCTAAGCAATAAATAAAATAAAAACTAGCTGTACCCGTCCGGTTCGCTGGGCATTTAAAATTAACTTGAAATTAACATTATTATTTCTCACCATCACAAAGATTCTCATTATTAACGCCCCCGCAACTGGTGTAGGGAGTCCAACACTCTTATAAATATTAGTCTATTCATTAAGTACATGTATTTTCTACATGGATACCAAGTTTCAAGTAAATCGGATGCATGGTTCAGTAGTTATAACAGAACATCCGTAAAAACCACTGTAGATTTATATATATAGTAAAGATATAGATAATTTTTAGTCTGTCAATGACAATATAACAAGCTCGCATGATTAATTAAGCGAATTACGATGCAATGATATCCCTTATCGCATACATTGCGTGTCATGTGGTTCTATATTATCGGACATAAGCAACAAATGATTTGTTATGAAAATTCAACGTAAGTGAAGTCCGAGTTTATTTTGAAAGACATGTTTATCTTTACGTGATGTGAAAGAGTAATTATTGAACTGCGAATAGATGGCGTTAAAACCTTTGGTTATTTGTTATTAATTGCAAATAGATGACGTTAAAACGTTTGTTATTCATTAAACTTACTACTTTCGGAGAGCAAGTATAGAGTGGCCATACCAAGTGCCACAGATAACCAAAGAGAAACGAACTAAGCAAATGGATGTATTCTGTGAATGCAATATACATAATATTTACATTACGCTTTTTGTTTTGTGTCCTTTATGGTAAAAATCACATATAATGTAGCGTCCACCTGCTTTGGGCGTCCGATATCCGGACCTCAAATAGAAGGTTGGTTTAAGTGATCGCGCGTTGTCTTGATAACTTCGGTAAAAGTAAAAATAAAATAAAAAAACGTCGACGTTGAACGTCACTACACTGCACCTTGCGATTCTGAATATTCCCTTACTACTGCTGGATTTTGTTACAAAAACTATGGTCTGATGTCTTAAAGCACTCGTTACCAGTCCATAAAAAAAAAACTATGGTCTGTTTTATAAAGGGTGTCTCAGCGCCGATTTTAAACTTTAAATATTTAAAAAAAAAAAAACAAAGATTGTATTTATAATATTTATGATATTTTAATTGCAGTAAACTATAGTTTATTAATGCGGATTTTATTTACGGAATATTACACCGACAAGATGTCTTCCATCACAGCGAATGCACTTTTCAAAGCGGACTATCGAAGTGGGTGGCGCATTTACGTTGTAGATGTCTATGGGCTCCAGCAACCACTTAACACCAGAAGGGCTGTGAGCTCGTCCACCCATCTAAGTAATAATAAATAAATAAAACATTTGTATTCGATTTACAGGTTATTTAGTAGGTAATGCCGGTCTTCTGGTGACATTAGCGCAATTCGCCGTGGCCTACCTCATAGTGCTGTTCACGGTGACCTCAATATGCGCGATATCGACAAACGGGGCGGTCGAAGGAGGCGGCGTGTATTGTATCCTTTTTAATACACTTCAACCCACATACACAGTCTATTGAGTTTCTCTTTCTCTCTTTTTTTATTACCCTTGTAGGCAGACGAGCATACGATCTGATGGTGAGTGGCTACCGCCCATGGTCTTCAGCAAGCCGCTGCCTACCGTTTAATACTCTCCACAAGCCTCGTTTGAAGAAGGACCTGTCATAGCGCTCAGGAAACACCTGAGTTTATTCCAAAGCCAGATGGTACGTAGCGGAAAAGATCTCTGGAAGCGCACTGTGGATGAACGCAGTGGTTCTAGGTAGTATGGATGAACTCTACTCCGGTGGCGGGCGGTGTTTTGGTAAACTCAGTGGGTGGCGTTTCCGATCCGGTAGTGGATTCAGCAAAGTACTGCTCTTGCTAGAGCAGATGTTAGCAAAGTCCGTGTGCTTGTCTAAAGGTTCAGTGAAGCTAGCATCATAACCCGTCGAGGTTACTATTAGGCAAAAAAAAACAAGTCTTTAATAGTTTGGTGTGTATGAACGTCCTTTTCAATGACCTCGAGACATCCAGCTACCTTCAGAAATTGCACACGCGTCAATAATTTTGACGGAGCAATAATTTTGACATCCTTAAAAACCTGATCTGTATCAATAGGACGTGTTTTTTTTAAACCTAAATACATTTAACATGAATACGGTTGGGATATCAACGAATTTACTGGTGGTAGGACCACTTGTGAGTCCGCGCGGATAGTTACCACCGTCCTGCCTATTTCTGCCGTGAAGCAGTAATGTGTTTCGGTTTGAAGAGTGAGGCAGCCGTTGTAACTATACTAAGACTTTAGAACTTGTATCTCAAGGACGCGTCTACGTTGTAAATGTCTATGGGCTCCAGTAACCACTTAACACCAGGTGGGCTGTGAGCTCGTCGATCCATCTAAGCAATAAAAAAAAGAATGCTTATTTCGGTATGTCCGGTGTTTCCTTGACCCGATGACGCAGTCATGTTGAGCAGAACCCTAGGTCCCGAGTTCGGAGGTGCTATAGGGACTTTATTCTTCTTCGCGAATGTGGTTTCCAGTGCTTTGTGCATATCAGCGTGCACTGAGGCCTTGGTTGAAAACTTCGGAACCAATGGTAAGCATCGTTTATATATACAGGGGTATTGGTGATACGATGTGTCCCGGGAACAGAACCTTCTTGCGTCCACAATCCATGCTGAGGAGGTGTTGAGGGTAGAGCGTGTCTGGGCTGATTAGCGCATCATTCAGGATCAGATGGAAGCGAAGAAATGCCAAAAAATGTTTCCCTCTCAATGTATGATCGAACGTTGATAGGACCTGAGAATTTTAAGAAATAGCCTTTTTTTATAAAGTTACATTTTGGATGTTTATGACGAAATAAATAAATAAATTGCTTGAATATCAGCTGTGTCTGACGTGAGGCAATTATTCGTGTTGGTTTGAGGTATCCTACAGTTGTTGTACTGTACAACTGATCCTTCGGCCTCATGTCCGAAGGTGGGTGGCGGTTTTCACGTTGTCACATCTCTGGGCTTCGCTCCAACCTTTTAAGTTTTTTTTTGTTGTTGCTTAGATCTCACAGCCCATCTGGTGTTAAGTGGTTACTGGAGCCCATAGACATCTACACGTCTACTTCTATGGGCTCCAGTAACCACTTAACAGCAGATGGGCTGTGAGATCGTCCACCTATTTAAGCATAAAAAATAAAAAGTAGTATAAGAAAGAACGTTACTTATTTCGTCGCATGTTTCCAGGGTACTTAGTGGGTGAGAGTGGTGGTATCCCGGACAGTTGGTGGTACCGCTTCCTGTATCGCTCCGTGCTGAATGCGGTCGGGCTGGGCGTGTCCCTGGCGGGCGCCTCGCTGTTCGCCAGGACCAGCCTCGCCATCTGGGTCACGATGCTGGTCTGCTTGGCCAGCGCCTTCTTGAGCTTCTTCATCACGAGCCCCGCGCAGGTAACCGGGGGTCTGTAGTCAATTAGCTAACTGGTGGTAGGACCTCTTGTACGAGTAGGTACCACCGCCTTACTTATTTCTGCCGTGAAGCAGTAATACGTTTCGGTTTGAAGGGTGGGGCAGCCGTTGTAACTATATTGAAAGTTTAGAGCTCATATCTCAAGGTGGGTGGCGGCATTTACGTTGTAGATGTCTATGGGCTTCAGTAACCACTTAACACCAGGTGGGCTGTGAGCTCGTCCACCCATCTATGCAATAAAAATAATAATAATTTATAATTAATTACTAATTAATTAGTAATTTAACGGCCGTCTGGTGTAGTGGTAAGTGACATGGTCACTACACAAGCGGTTCGCGGGTTCGAATCCCGCCAAGGGAAGATATTTGTATGATAGATATAAAATGTCTTTTCCAGGGTTATGGATGTATGTTAAATATAATTATGTATGTGTATAATAAAAATATTACATTTATTTCCGTTATCTGGTACCTGTAACACAAGGTCTTTACGAACTTACCACGGGACCAGTTAACGTGGCGTGATTATTAAAAAAAAAAAAACAATATGACGTTATTAGTATGTTCCGATTTGACGAGTGAAACAGTCGTTATATTGTATACAGGAAACTGTAACCCCAAGTCTCTAAGGCGTGGTGGTGAAGTCTATGGCGTTAAGTAAATACGTTTATCAGCCCACAGACGTCTACTGCTGGACAACTGGTGGTAGGACCTCTTGTGAGTCCGCACGGGTAGGTACCACCACCCTGCCTATTTCTGTCGTGAAGCAGTAATGCGTTTCGGTTTGAAGGGTGGGGCAGCCGTTGTAACAACTATCTGTGAGACCTTAGAACTTATATCTCAAGGTGGGTGGCGAATTTACGTTGTAGATGTCTATGGGCTCCAGTAACCACTTAACACCAGGTAGGCTGAGAGCTCGTCCACCCATCTAAGCAATAAATAAATAAACTTTTCTAATGTCGTCCTCCCAACGCGTGTACGGTCTACCGACGCGCCGCTTGCCCTGTGGACCGTCCCATGCAGTTACTATAGATGTCCATCTCCCATTAACACTACCTAATTGTTGATGTTTCCAGATCGAGAAGCCAGATTCGAATCACTTAATAAACACGACATATCTGAACTACACCGGGCTGAGCGTGTCGACGCTGGCTTCGAACCTGTACCCGCAGTACGGGCGCGACTACACGACGGCGAGCGGGCAGCTCGTGGACTTCGCGTCAGTGCTGGGCGTGCTGTTCACCGGCGTCACCGGCGTCATGGCCGGCGCCAACATGAGCGGTGGGTGGCCGAGTGCTTCACTGCACAAATGAAAACATTAGATTTTTATTATAAATAAATAATAGTTTAAAAAAAACACGCTTTATATAAAATTCAACAAAAATAGAAAATAAATTTTAATATATTTAAAGGATCGTGCTCAGTGGCGAACAATTGGAGAGGCCTATGTCTAGCAGTGGACTGCTATAGGCTGATGATGATGATGATGAAATTTAAATTAAAAATGTATAAAAAATCTATATATATATTTTATTGTAAAAAAAGCAAATTTTCAAGGTCAATCCAGACGCCCTGAAGTTCGTAAAAATGGCATTGAAAGGTCGTGCCCGTAAAATTAATCCTTTACCTTCAAAGGGTTAAAAGAAGAGGCTTATCGAAAACCACACCCTGTATACGGTGCGCTCACAGCCGATCTTGTTCCGTAGGGGAATTAAAGCACCCGTCGCGCAGCATCCCGCGCGGCACGCTCGCGGCGCTGCTGTTCACGGCCGCGTCCTACGCCGCGCTGAGCCTGCTGACGGCCGCCACGTGCTCCAGGGAGCTGCTGCAGAACAACTACGTGTACCTGCTGCCCATCAACGTGTGGCCACCCTTCATAGCCGTCGGTACGTATTTTTTTTATGTGATTTTATGACCTGGTAACTAAGACCTTTAAGTCATGTCTTATTTTTATGAAAAATGTTAATATTGAGTGTTTTTTTTCCTACCTAAGCTGATAGCCTTGAGAGGCTATATCAGCGTAGCCTTAACTAGTAGGTGAGCTTACGGGGCTCAAACCTGATGACGTTGCTAACACGAACCCTAGCAAGAGCAGTGCTTCGCAGAATCTACCACCGCAATGATCGCAAACGCGACCCACTGAGAAAATCCGCCGAGAAACTCAGTGGGCTGTGTCTGTGGGTTGATTTACTCACCGAGCCCTTCGTCGCAAGTGACGGGTTCGACGAGAACGATGACCGGATACATCACCGCGTTCGAGTCAGTAAATGATTTCTAAAAATATTTGATACTTGATACACGATATATACAGGTAAAGACAAAACAGTGGAGTACTGTTATCAATAGATGGCGTTGAACGATTTCTGAATCGCGTCTCGATGAAATTATTATTCAAAGTCAAATTCTAACTCAGGAAATATACAGGTGTTTATATACAGGCGTTTTATATGTTTCATCGTAAAAAACTTTTACGTATTTTTATGGAGTAATAATTAATAGTTGTTTATAACGGTAAACTAAATTAAATACCTAACGTATTCCATATCATTACGGTCATAAATTTATTTAAGATTAACCTTCAGAAATTTTGTGATTATTCTCATAAAATAATAAGTAATTTTAAATACTTTTTTAGTGTAAAAAAATTATACTAATTTCGTAAAAAATTACGGTATTTCAGGCATGATAGTAGCTACATTTTCGGCCGCACTCTCCAACCTGATCGGCGCTTCTAGAGTGTTGGAAGCGTTGGCCAAAGATGACATATTTGGTGAGTTAACAAAATTATGCCTTAAATTATTTATTGCCTTTATATGCAGACGAACATACGGCCCACGTGATTGTAAGTGGTTACCGTCGCCCATGGACTTCAGCAATCCTAGGGTTAGAGCCAAGCCGCTGCCTACAAAGATGCGCAGATAGGTCACGATTCGTTTGGTGTTAAGTTTTTTTTTTGTTTATTGCAGAGCTTTGAGGACGAGCTCACAGCCCACCTGGTGTTATATGGTTACCGGATCCTATAGACGTCTGCAACGTAAATGCCGCCACCCACCTCAAGATATGAGTTCTAAAGTCTCAGTATAGTTACAATGGCTGCCCCACCCTTCAAACCGAAACGCATTACTGCTTCACGGCAGAAATAGGCAGGGTGGTGGTACCTACCTGTGCGGACTCACAAGAGGTCCTACCACCAGTCACCGACCGTGTGGTCACCGACCTGCCTTGAGACACGGACTATCTCAGCAGTACTGTATCAGCGAGCCCCACCCTTCAAATCGGGAAGTCAGTATTGTTTAAGCGGCCTTCAGCACCAGCAATTACGAAAATTCATAAAATTTTCATTACTGTTTTTTTTCTGCATACATCGTCTGCATACAAAGGCAATAAAGTTGTTGTAATGTTGAAGGTTTCCTTCTTCGTCCGATGGTGTCGCGTTCCGGGAACCCGGTGCTGGCGGTGGTGGTGTCCTGGGCGCTGGTGCAGGTGGGCGTGGCGGCGGACTCCCTCAACGCCATAGCGCAAGTCAACTCGGTCCTCTTCATGACGAGCTATTTCGCCATCAATCTGGCTTGCCTGGGACTGGAGCTCGCTTCGGCTCCTAACTTCAGGTCAGTGCTGTTTGTTGAAGCCGCACAACTCCATTAAGGCTTATAGCTTTTTTTTTATACTAGTGGCCCCTCTATAGTCGAAATTCGACTATAATTAATTAAGATTATAATTTTATACACTATTGTGGGAAATTTGGGAAATTTCATACTCCTTCGTCCGCGCAATTTTCGTAAAAAGGGGTACAAAGTTTCTGCTTCACGTATTAAGAGAGAAGAAGAGTAGAGAAGAGAGTGTCTTTGGTTGTCTATTAAAAAAAAAATATTGCATAGATAAATGGTTATCGGAGCCCATAGACATCTACAACGTAAATGCCGCCACTTAACTTGAGATATGAGTTCTAAGGTTTCAGTATAATTACAACGGCTGCCCCGCCCTTCAAACCGAAACGCATTACTGCTTCGCGGCAGAAATAGGCAGGGTGGTGGTACCCACCCGCGCGGACTCACAAGAAGTCCTACCAGCAGTAAAGACTTCGTCAAACAGAACGCGTACTTAGCATGCGTCATAGCGCTATGACGCCGATATGTGTTGTACTACTGTGGTAATATACCGTCAAACAGAGCGCCAATGCTATAAGTACGCAGCGCTCTGCCGCGGCGGTAGGACGCTTCGACGTCAGGCGTTGTCATTTTATATTAACCTTCGAGTGAATGTGTATTAAAATACTGGACAATGCCCGAAAAATTAATAGAATTAGTTAGAAAATACCCATGCTTATATGAATCACTCGACATTTTAATACTTTTAAATTCTCACACTGCTATCGAAAGGCACTATGATTTGGCGGATGTTACGTCGCGTCAATGAGCGTTGGACTCATCTAGTCAATTTGTGTGACATGAAAAGAGCGCGACGTTAAAACGCGGCGCTAAGTACGCGTGCTTTTTTATTTCCTTTGTAGGCAGATTAGCACACGGCCCACCTGATGGTGAGTGGTTACCGTCGCCCATGGACTTCAGCAATGCCATGGGCAGAGCCAAGCCGCTGCCTACCGCTTAATACTTTCCACAAGCCTCGTTTGAAGAAGGACGTGTCACAGCGCTCGGCAAACACCGTAGAAGGGAGCTCATTCCAAAGCCGGATGGTACTGTCGATGAACGCAGCGGTTCCAGATAATATGGATGAACTCTGCTCCGATGACGGGAGGTGCGATGATAAAAAGAATATGAGTATCGAATAATTCCTCAGAGCATTTCCCATAGATCATACGGTACAAAACACAGAGAGTACCGGAGTCCCTTCGTAGACCCGGTACGTGGCAAAAAAGATCTCTGGAAACGCAGTGTGGATGACCGCAGTAGCTCCAGATAGTATGGATAAACTCTGCTTAAATATGTGATGGGTGTGCGCAGGCCGACGTTTCGCCAATTCTCGTGGGCGACGTCGCTGGCGGGGCTGTGCGGCAGCGCGGCGCTGATGTTCTCGCTGCGCGCGCTGTACGCGGCGGGCGGCGCGCTGGCGGCCGCGGGGCTGGTGCTGGCGCTGCACCTGCTGTCGCCCGCCGCCGCCGAGCCCAAGTGGGGCAGCCTCAGCCAGGCGCTCATCTTCCACCAGGTGCGCCCATACAACTGCTCGCACTATATCACCTGTTTAGTAATCAATTGGACTTTTTGGCGGGAACGCGAAGAGCCGAAGTGGAATTGTTCTATTTTGTTATGTTTTTAATGTAATGATGATAGTTTAATTTTACATAAATAGTTCAATAGTCAGGTCTCACTTAAAAAACAAAACTGTGTTCAACATTCATTCGCCGTCTCTCTTACTTCCTAACACGACATTCACTATCTCTCTCACTCAGTCTTGTTCCATATCTGTCATTCATCCATACCGTCCCGTTCCGTACCTACATAAATAGCAAAAGAAAGGAAGGAATATTAAGTACCATTCCACCATTATGTACCATTCTCACTTCCAGGTCCGCAAGTATCTGCTGCTCCTGGACCCGCGGCGAGAGCACGTCAAATTCTGGAGGCCGCAGATGCTGCTGTTGGTGGCCTCGCCGAGACAGTCGGCGCCGCTCATAGACTTCGTCAACGATCAGAAGAAGGTAGGAACCAGAGGAACTCATTACTCAACTCTAGGGTCTGTTCACGAAAAACGCAGTGTCGCAAGACTAAGGTCTTGGTTGGTAGTGAGACCTTATGCATTTCGCAGGAGACCCCCAGCCTAAAGGATACTGGTCAATATGTACTGTCAAAACTGAAACCTTAAAACTCTTGTCTTAAAGTGCATGGCTGCATTCATATTGCAGATGTCTATGGGCTCCGGTAACCAATAGGACCGTGAGCTCGTCCGCCCATCTAAGCAATAAAAAAAATAATATCAATGGCACTCTTTAGGACATTTCAAATCTTCAATGACCGTATAAACAAGTAGAATGTACGTAAGCACCGGTCATCGTTCTCGTCGAACCCGTCGCTTGCGACGAAGGGCTCGACGAGTAAATTAACCCTCAAACAAAGCCCACTGAGTTCCTCGCCGGATCTTCTCAGTGGGTCGCGTTTCCGATCCAATGGTAGATTCTGCGAAGCACTGCTCTTGCTAGGGTCAATGTTAGCAACACTCCCGATTTGAACTCCATGAGCTGTTCACGATTGATTTCCACGGGGAAGGAATAACATCGTGTAATAAAAATCAAACCCGCATAATTATAATTTGCGTAATTACCGGCGGTAAGACCTCTTGTACCACCACCCTGCCTATTTCTGCCGTGAAGCAGTAATGCGTTTCGGTTTGAAGGGTGGGGCAGTCGTTGTAACTATACTGAGACCTTAGAACTTATGTCTCAAGGTGGGTGGCGCATTTACGTCTTGGACTCCAGTAACCACTTAATCAGCAATAAAAAAAAACCTACACGTTAAGGAGAAGCTGAAATAGCCTCAAGGCTATCAGCTTAGGTAGCATTTGATCTGGCTTTGGTTCCAGGGCGGGCTGTTCGTGCTGGGTCACGTGCGCGTGGGGCGGCTGGACGGCGCGGGGGACCCTCTCGCGGAGGAGCACCAGTACTGGCTGAAGCTCATCGACCATCTCAAGGCGAGTTCAAACAAACACATACACACATACGTCACACATGCTGTCATTGAACAGGTTCATAGCACGATTGTCACTTGTATTGAGTTCTCGCCAGTACCTTTCCATTTGGTCTGGCGGGGGGCGTTATTGGTATTGGGGGGTGGCAGCGTCACTGGCGGTGGGCTCGTGACCTGTTAGTCATAGATGATACACATAAATTAGTTATAGATAAGCAAATCAAGCACTCAACAGAAATGTTTACGGGCTTCGGCCACTAGATGGCTTTGCTTCGATTATTTTCTGATTGCTCCTATAGATGGTAGTAACATTAGTACCTGTCCTATATTTTATTTTTAATGAAGGAAGTTGTAAATTTTCAGAAACGACAAATCGATAAAATTTTATTAATCTGTCTATAACAGATAAAGACTTGTATGATTTATTATTTTCTGTGTTTCGTTATACAATCATTAAAAGCCTTAATTTTTATAACATATAAGTTTAGGGGCATCCGCTGCAAGATGTCACTAGTATCCGTACATAAAAAATATTTGTCTTAAAGCTCACCTTGTAGTTAAGGTTACGCTGAAATAGCCTTTCAAGGTTATCAGCTTAGGTAGGGAATAAAAAAAGGCCGCGCGCTGGTGTTGTCGGCGCGTGGTGAGTGGCCTCGCGCTGGTGTTGTCAGCGCGTGTAGTGAGCAAGCCGGCGGTGTGGTGCAGGTGAAGGCGTTCGTGGAGCTGTGCCTGGCGGAGTCAGTGCGCAGCGGCGCCGCCCACCTGGCGCGCCTGTCCGGCCTGGGCGCCATGAAGCCCGACACCGTGCTGCTCGGCTTCTGGGACGACGCGCAGCCGCGGGACTTCTTCAGGGAGTGAGTTCGGCTTGTGATGATGCGGGGATTCCCTTGCTTATTAAAATTTCTACTATATCCTCCCAATTGCCTTTTTTTAATATTTTATTTTTATATTCTGAACTTTGCATGTCCCGCTATCTGGACGCTTTTGGATTTTATTTATAAATAAATCTGTCACCATCTGTCAAATCACCCTATACGAAAACGCGCGATCAGATGTGCAGCAAAATGGCGGTGCATGTACTTACAAGCGCGCAGCTAACGCCCGCGTAACGCGCGTTCCAACGATATTCTGATAGCGCGCGTGCGACGCGCGTTTGCATGTGTACACTTCAATATGAACTTTTGGATCTCAAAACGCGCGTTAGTAAATGGCGCGTTTCAAAGCGCCCAATATGTACTCGCTGTAAAAACTTGGATCTCAAAACGCGCGTTAGTAAATCGCGCGTTTCAAAGCGCTGAATGTGTACTCGCTGTAAGAACGATTAGATCTCAAAATATTCCTTAGTAAATAGCGCGTTTCAAAGCGCCCTATGTGTATCCGATGTAATCCCGCAACCCGGTGTTGCAGACCGGAGTCGCCGTACCGCACGGAGCTGTTCGACGCGGGCGGCGGCGCATTCCCCGCCCGCCGCGCCGGTGCCGCGCGCCTGCCGCCCGCCGAGTACGTGCGCATACTGTCCGACGTGCTCTGCGTCAACAAGAACGTGTGCATATGCAGGCACTTCCATCTGCTGGACATGGCGGCGGTCGAACGGTAATTTGAACTTCAATCAAATCAATACTGATGTAAGTTTTTTTAAGTATGGCAATTAACTCTTTGTGACGCAATTGTTGCCAGAGTAAAAAAAAAAAATCTTCACCTGTTAAATACATACATAAACTGTTATATGAAAGCTGATACGGAGTGAAATGAAATTGATTTATTTAAAACTTTTACCAATTGGGATGTTATATAGTCATTTACTGTGCGCTTCAGTGAACTTTTTGGAAGGACTCGAGAAACCACGTCCGGCGACTCTGTTGCATTATCCCGGCTCTAAACCCGAAGAAACACTAAATTAACAAAATAAAGCAGTTCATACAATTTCCCTGTTCGCGTTCCCGCTAAAATGTCCGATGCGAAGTTATATAATTGTAGGATTGGCAAGAACGGAATGTATGAAAACAGTGTGGAACGGACCGTTAAGATGTGAGTGAGAGAAAACGGTGAGAAAGGGAAAAGAGAATGACAGAGTAAAGCAAGATGGCGACGACGATTGAATGAGCAAGGCGTAAAAAAGGTGTCAAATAAGTTTTAATTATACGGAATATTTGAGAAAAGAACAATAAAGGTGCAAAAAGGGATAAGTTTATTTTATGTGCCACGATATCAAAGTATAGATAATTCTGTCAATATAATAGTGCGCAGCGGCTTGGCTTTGCCCCTGGCATTGCTTAAGTCCGACGGTAACCACTCACCATCAGGTGGGTCGTATGCTCGTCTGCCTACAAGAGCAATAAAAAAAAACCTACTTGGTCTTGAGTTATAAAAACCCAGCGCTGTTCCATGCATCCACAGCAACAGCTGTGAGCGACATACATTTGCCTTTCTTTTACTTATTTATCTGTAATAATCTAAATCTGTGTGCTAAACGCAACCAATGATATTAATAATATTTATTATCAATCTGGAAACAGACGGCCTTAACAAAAACCCTATAGCTTCGTATTTTAAATCAATGTAAATTGAAGACATGAGTGTGGATGAAGATGTATGATACAATTTGTTAATTTTGAGAAAACTGCCAACAAACTTTTGTCAGTTGTACTTTTTCTTCGTACATAACTCCTTCATCACATGCAATTTCTAAAAATAGCCTTTAAACCCGGAGACTTAAGATCTAAATATGGTTTATATGCTCAATCAGGCTCATAACACCTTCATTTAATGTAAAAACTCAAAAATTTAAAAAGTGGTACTTTATCCCTTCATCCATCCACTCATGTCTTCAATCATTGTTTTCTTTAATTGAAAATTATGGTTTGGCAACAACATTAACAACGACAGTTAACGGTTAACGACACAGTCCGCAAATGTTTTTAGAACTTTGAATTTGAAGCAAGACCGATTGGATTACTCCAATTGCCTTCTTTATATTTGATAGATGTATTTATGATCACCTCCAGCAACTGTTTACACAGTTACCTAGGTCGATTCTAAAAAAATGACATGTCTTCAAGAGACATAAGTCTCTGCCTATTTCTGCAACTAAAAAATAGTATCAGTGTCCTCTTATACTACAGTTACATATTACGATGGCGCGATTCAGGAAACGTTCAACGCCATCTATTGACGACAGTGGTTAACTTTGGTACTGCGAATCAAACAATCATTTGTTTTGATGCATAGTTTTAATGGAATTTACTATGTAATAAAAGTGATTTATGATTAAATATTTATAATATTTTTTTTTTAATTAGAGTACTTATATCTTATATTCTGTAGAAAAAATTAAAACGGTAGGCATATTGGAGCTTTTTATTAATTCAATTATTTATGTGTGGCAAATCACTGGCAAGTTACAAACAATGAATATTTTCAATTGCTTTTCTTTTTAGATTATATATGTGGATGGGTTCACAGCTCATCTGGTGTTAAGTGGTTACCTGATCTTATAGTTATCACGCTATAATTGCTACCACCCAATCCGAATCTTAATTTCGAAGTCTCAATTTATTAACGGCTGTCCCAAATTTCGCTTCGCGGCAGAAGTAGGGGGTTGAGAAGTAGGGGGTTGTACGAGTAATCTTGAGTATTCGAGCTGCGACTGCTTTGTGAGCTAATTAAAAAAAAAAGCAACCTAATATTTGAAGATATGAGTGGATTAGGGGTATATGATACAATTTGTTAATTTTGAGAAAACTGGCAACAAACTTTTGCTTTTACTTGTGCTTTTTCTTCTATATCTATACTAATATATAAATCTACAGTAGTTTTTACGGATGTTTCGTTATAACTACTGAACCATGCATCCGATTGACTTGAAACTTGGTATCCGTGTAGAAAATACATGTGTTTAATGGATAGGATTTATATGAGTGTTGGACTCTCTACACCAGTTGCGGGGGCGTTAATGATGAGAATCTTTGTGGGGGTGAGAAATAATAATGTTAAGTTTAAATGCTCAGCGAAGCGGGCGGGTACAGCTAGTCGTACATAAAACTCCTTCATCAAAGGCAATGTCTAAAAATAACCACATAACCAGGGACGTCTTAAACTAGGCTGGGGCCCTTGGGTACACAAGAATTTGAGGCCCATTTGGAAAGTAAAAAAAATCGAATTATAATAACATTTTTTTACTAAGTATGACCATTTAATAAAGGTAATCAAATACAGTATGATAAAATATGTCATTAATGATATTAGAATGCTGCTGGTTTTTTGGTTACGATTACGATTACGATAACGACTTCCAAACTAATTTCATCAATATAACCTAAAATGATTACCTACTTATTACCTATTACGTTTTGTGATTTTGTAGTCTTACACTTCTACTACTACTACTACTACTACTACTTCTTTTGTCCTTTTTTATTTCTCTATCTTTTTCTAATAACTTTCAGCGCCTTTTTTAAATTTACTCGGTTGCTACTGTAGCGTCACCCTTATTTAGCAGATTTTAACGGACACTTTTTACACACAGAGACGGTTCTCCTTACCTCTACTCTCCATATTAGTACAGTAGGAATAGGCGCAGCCATCGATATAATGGCGTAGTATATGCTTTGTATATACCTTCTGATAAGATTACTGAAACGTGTAATGTGCCCGACAAAAATGTTTCGAGAATAAATGTGTAAGAAAAATTGTCGGTCCTTCGGGGCCCCCTGAGAATGGGGGCCCTGGACACGGGCCCCGTGTGCCATTATGGTAAAGACGGCATTGCACATAACATCTTAAAGAGGCAAGTCATACCTTTATTCACGTTCTTACGGATCCATCAGATCCAATAACCTTTGCATTAGACGCCTTCAGCTCTAATACTAGGAGCAGGCTCAGGGACCCCGGTAACGGTACTCGTCGAACTCAACAAAGAGGTCGACGTGCAATCTAACCCATTCATCAGCCCGCTGAGTTCCTCACCGGATCTTCTCAGCGGGTCGCGATTCCGATCCGGTAGTAGATTCATTCGCGAAGCAGCTACTCTTGAGCTGTTAGATCTCCTTTGGAGGCGCTCAGGCAGCTGTTAGCAAATCCCACCCCTCCTGGCTGAGCCTTTGCTCGCCCTGGTGAAACTGGAAAGGCCGGGCCACCAGTAATCCTTCAATCCTAAAAAAATCGGTTGTCTGTAAAGTCAGTTTATTGACGATAGTTGAACGTGACAACGTCATAAGAAAATACTGATGGAATGGTTTCATTTTTCAAAAGAAAACTTTAATTTTATTTGTTTGATAGATATTTTGTATGGACAATTGACACCACATTCACTTTTGACTGAACTTCATACTTGACAATGTATTATTGTATAGCAGCTGTCCACGCGGATGCATCGCTCACTCAAGTAGGAGAGAGACAGATGTCGAACGCTACCGAACGCGGAGACCGATTGTGCCTCTTTGTCGTTCGTTGCGCGCTCTCGCTTGCACTTCAAGCCTTAAATGGAACGCCTCAATGAGTCATGTTTTTTCGTGCGTGCAGCTGGCTCCATCGAATTATCCATCGGTTTTTTCCTTTCTTCAATTTACAAAACCTTTATTCAATGTAAAAGCTCAAAAATCTTAATGTCTCCGTTCGTGTGTGTGTTTCAGTAAGTCCCCGAGCTTGAAGTACATCGACGTGTGGCTGGTGGATCTGCTGGCGCCGAGCCGCGAGGAGGCATTCTCGGTGCGGGGGCTGTTCGCGCTGCAGCTGGCGGCCGTGGTGCGGTCCGCGCGTGGCTGGCAGCACCTGCAACTCCGCGTGCACACCACCAGACACGGTTAGCCAACACTCAACACTTGAATGAAAGAAGTGTGGTGTAGTGGGACACCGGATAGGAACGAAGTTCCTTATTATAAAAATGTTAACTTTATGTTCTATATTCGAGGTATAAAGAAAATAAAACTGGAGGTTTCGCAACAACCCACGGTCATTCGGTAACGTGCGAACTTATTGTGATACACTTCAGTCACGGTTGTTTGCATAAGAGTTAGTGTATTGCGCAAACGAACGCTCTGAGATCGTGGTCAATGAATGATAAAAAAATATGTTATTTTTTGTACGTTATTACAAAGTTAAGTCGTACACTGTGTGCATTACTAATAAAAATCTTACGTTACGGACGTTTTTTCCCGGTTAGGGTACCCCTCCGCATCGTCCCATAAGGAGCTTCGTTCCAACAAGATTGTATAATATAAACTAGTGGTCCCCAGGTTGTCGAAATTCGACTATAATTAATTGAAATTATAAGAATACTATTGTTTTACTCCCTATAAGCACAGATTTTGTCAAGGCTACATTATAGACAAATATTATTAATCTATTCTCAAAAAATAATTTGTGTTGGATTTGGAAAGATTCCCGATTCCCACCAATCTGAGGTATTGTTTAAAGTCTCTGGCCAAACTGAGAATAGATTAATATTGTTGTCTATAATATTATTTATCTTAAATTAAAATTATATTTGAATTTCGACTACTGCAGGACCACTAGTTTAGATAAAAGCCGCAAAATTTGTAACTTGCGTTACTATACAACTGAGATACAGACCTCAAGTCACAAGTGGGCCGGTTCAACTAGTGGTAAATAAAGCCCCCAGAAGAGGAGTAGCCGTGTGCCACACACTCACAGACCAAGACCCTCACGTGTCATAGCATAAGTGCGACTAACTATACTCAGATCTTAGACTTATATCTCAAGGCGGGTGGCGCATTTACGTTGTAGATGTCTATGGGCTCCAGTAACCACTTAACACCAGGTGGGTTGTGAGCTCGTCCACCCATCTAAGCAATAAAAAAATAAAAAATGACTGTTGTCTGTGTATTGAACCCGTGCGTTTGTTTCAGAAGCGAGCCTGACGGTGGGCTCCGGCGACAGTCCGGCGCCGGACGGGCCGCCGCTGCAGCAGCGCCTCGAGGAGTTGCTCAAGCTGCTGCGGATCAACGCCACCACGCACATTGTGAGTGCCGCCCTCATTGTAGTCCAGGAGCTCTCTTAAATTTACTGTTGTCAAATTGTAGTTTAAGAGCTCTTTTTAAACTTGTTAGTGCTATGCTTATTTTCATATATTTTGACGGAAATTGTTAAAAGATTTTAGAAATATATTACCCAATAAAAAGATTTAACTTAAAAAATATGCTAAATTCACACTAAAATAATTTTACATTGTTATTTATATATGTTTGTTAGGTTATTGGAAGACACGTCCGTATAGATCGTACGGTCTATACGGACGTGATATAGATCGTACGATCGTATTCCGACGCTCCGTACCTTAATGCGTTAATAGAGAGTCGATCTATAGACGTTTCACGCTTGAAGGGTTAAAGTACTATTCTAAAAATTGTAATGTAAGAGCTCAAAGCCCTAAGAGAAATTCAATAATAAACCGTACAGACAGACAATATGAAGGTATTTTTTTGTATGTCTATAATATGTCACACATACACGCTTTCACATTTATAATACTAGTATGGATAACATTTCCAGATCTCAGATTGGCCGAAGCTGGACCTGAGCAGGTGGTCCGATACGGACGAGGACCTGTACCAGCGGGTCCCCGCCACCTACCTCAAGACGTAAGCCACTTATCTATACTAATATATAAATCTACAGTGGTTATTACAGATGTTCCGTTATAACTACTGAACCATGCATCCGTATGACTTGAAACTTGGTATCCATGTAGAAAATACATGTATTTAATGGATAGGCTAATATTTATATGAGTGTTGGACTCCCTAATAGTAATGACAATAAATAATAATGCTAATTTTAAATGCCCAGCGAAGCAGGCGAGTACGGCTAGTATTATATAGAAAAAGACAAGATAATTATGACAATAGAAATGTAATACGTCAACGATTCGAAATCTTAAGGTCTCAGTGATTAGGGTCGAATTTGTGTAAATTAGGTGGCGGCATTTACTTTTTTTACACTTTTATTTTTATTGCGTAGATGGGCGGATGAGCTCACAGCTCACCTAATGTTCAGTGATTCCCGGCACCCACATTGAGTTATGAGTTCTAAGGTCTCAGTATAGTTACAACGGCTGCCCCGCCCTTCGAACCGAAACGCATTACTGCTTCACGACAGAAATAGGCAGGGCGGTTGTACCTACTCGTGCGGACTCACTAGAGGTCCTACCATCAATAAACTAAAACATGATTAATATTCCAGCGTGAACAGTATAGTCCGGGAGCGCTGCGAGCAGGGCACCGCCGTGACCTTCGTCCAGCTCAGCGCCCCGCCCCGCGAGGCTGACGAGCTGTGCGAGCAGTACCTGCAGGTACCACGAGGGGACACTGGTCGAGACGACTTCGCTATTAATAAAACTCAACGCTTAAGGCTTCGTCAAACAGAGTAGAGTTCATCCATACTAACTGGAGCTACTGCGGTCATCCACAGCACGTTTCCAGAGATCTTTTTTGTCACGTACCATCCGGCTATGGAATGAGCTCCCCTCCACGGTGTTTCCCGAGCGCTATGACATGTCCTTCTTTAATGGAGGCTCGTGGAGAGTATTAAGCAGTAGGCAGCAGCTTGGCTCTGCGCATAGCATTGCTGAAGTCCATGGGTGATGGTTACCACTCACCATCAGGTGGGCCGTGTGCTCGTCTGCCTACAAAGATAATAAAAAAAAAGAATGTGTACTTAGCGCCGCGTTTTAACGTCACGCTCTTTTCATGTCACACAAATTGACTAGACGAGCTCAACGCTCCTTGACGCGACGTAACATCCGCCAAATCATAGTGCCTTTCGAAAGCACTGTGAAAATTTAAAAGTATCATTCGTAAGTTTCGCTCATCTCAAGATGGGTGGCGCATTTACGTCTTTACGTTGTGGATTTCTATGGGCTCCAGTAACCACTTAACACCAGGTGGGCTGTGAACTCTTCCAACCGTCTAAGCAATAAAAAAATAAAAAAAACCCTATTCGCCCCTACGATGTCTGACGATGGTGTTAATAATTGTGGCTTCTCCGACATATATATATATATTTCAATACTTCATTAACATATTGGAGGCTACTCGTTGCTAACGCTCGCGCTGGCCTGTAACAGGTATACTACGCGCATGCATTGTAACTATATTGAGATCTTAGAACTTATATCTCAAGGTGGGTGGCGCATTTATGTTGTAGATGTCTATGGCTCCAGTGACCACTTAACACCGGGTGGGCTGTGAGCTCGTCCACCCATCTAAGCAATAAAAAAAAAGCGTTCGAGTGCCACGCATTCACTCTCGCTCTGTCTCTTTCTATTCCACGGTAGCGTTAAACTCTTAACACAACCTTGTTGGAAGTCGCATCAGAAGTTTCGCTTCAATAAAAACTAACCTCTCTACATTTGTCCGCAGGTGCTAGACGAATTCACGAAGGATTTATCGCCGACGATTCTAGTGAGGGGCCTAAAGTCGGTCACGTCCACGTCTCTGTAATGGCGTCGGTGTGCTAGTGAGAGCAAACGGAATCCGAATGGTGTCTTAATTAATTTGTAACTGGGAGCTTGAAGTCAGATGGCTTGTGGAGAGTACTCAACGGTAGGCAGCGGCTTCGCTCTGACATTGCTGATGTCCGTGGGCGACGGTAACCACTCACCATCAGGTGGACCAATAAAGGCAATAAAAAACGAGGACTGGAGGAACATGGAGTCTGGTCTACCCTCGCCACGCCAGAACTTCCGCAGGGCTCTATAATTTTTATCATTAAATATTCGTTAAATTTTAAGAGGACTTATGATAGGCTTTTTTAAATCGACACTTTCATTTTCATATTAGCGCGCTTTATGACTAAGGCACCTTCTACCAGTAAATCAATGGCGATGCGAAATGTCTTAGATGATAAATAAATTATATAAAAATTAATATCACACTATATTTTATACGATAATTATTAAAAAATAAATAATAGTTTAAAAAAAATATAATAACAAAATACGCTTTTATAGAAAAAGCTTTTTTTATAATAAAATATTTTTTTTTTACATTAGTTTTAATTCAAATTTTTTAAAATAATTATTTTCTATTTTTTAGTTGGATTTTTTATAAAAGCGTATTTTGTTAGTTTTTTTTTAAACTATTATTTATTCATCGTTTTTAGGTGAATTTCAATTTCTTCAATTTTTATATGTGATTTTGAATTAATTGTTTTGTTTTTAATCAAAACATTTTCTTTTTTTTTAAGTAAGTTATTAATTTTAAAACTGACTTTTTTGTATAAATTATACTCCGTTTGCGCTCAAAGCTTAAGTTAAAACTGTTCATATTCTCAATTATACATTGCAGATAGGAAATATCAGTAGTAAAAAATAATTTAATATCTTCGTTAGTAAGTATCATTTATTGTTAGTATGTTTCGTTTATATGGTATTTTGGCATAATTTTCGCATTTATTCAGTCAACTTTTTAGAAGACCTACGAGCTATTATTCCAATTATATGTGTTGTAATTTTGAATACAATCAACGTAGGCAGACGCGCTCATATCTCACATTTGTCCTTGGACATCGGCATAGTCTAGCCGTCGCTGTTACAAAAGCTCTTTCTGAATTCCTCTCGGAGGCTACGGCTTGTGGCTCTATGTTGAACTGGTGGTAGGACCTCTTGTGAGTCCGCACGGGTAGGTACCACCACTCTGCCTATTTCTGCCGTGAAGCAGTAATGCGTTTCGGTTTGAAGGGTGGGGCAGCCGTTGTAACTATACTTGAGACCTTAGAACTGATATCTCAAGGTGGGTGGTGCATTTAAGTCGTAGATGCCTATGGGCTCCAGTAACCACTTAAAACCGGGTGGGCTGTAAGCTCGTCCACCCATCTAAGCAATAAATAAATAAAAAACGCGATAAAATGTTTCAAACCATAAGTGGTCTACCAGGTATTGCTGTTGTCCCTGAGCACTTGTGGTCTATTAGGTATGCCGTACGCCCGTCTGCGTTCAAAGGTAGTAAAAATTGGATTCTTTTGTTTGACGTCATAGGTGCGTTGCATTGAAATAGCTTTTTAAATCCATATTATTTACTTATATTAACTAGGTAATACTTAATTAGCTTATAAAATAAATATTTCCCTTCGATTGTGGCTTTAAATAAATGACAGATAAAATGTGAAATCAAATTTTCTTAAATGAATATATTTTTCTGTTTATTGAGTAATATATCAACTACCCTCATTATTATTTGTATCAACGTGTAGTTGTTACTGCTAAGGCAAAACTCAATATAGTTGATATTAAAAAGTGATTTGTTTTCTTAGTGTTATATCATAATCGAATTCAAATGATAGTTTACAGAGAAACAATGTCAATTTAGTTTTTGTCATATCATCTCCTGTCACCTCTCTATTATGAATAGTGTTAATTAATTGTATATTTATATTAGAAAAATAATTATCCCTATGTCTCCCATGTAGGTCACCGGTGCCCTACGCGGCGTACTGAAGAAATTTTATTTTTTTTGCTTAGATGGGTGGACGAGCTCACAGCCCACCTGGTGTTAAGTGATTTTTTTTTATTGCCCTTGTAGGCAGACGAGCATACGGCCCACCTGATGGTGAGTGGTTACCGTCGCCCATGGACTTCAGCAATGCCAGGGGCAGAGCCAAGCCGCTGCCTACCAATTACTGGAGCCCATTGACATCTACAACGTAATTGCGCCACCCACCTTGAGATATAAGCTCTAAGGTCTCAGTATAGTTACAACGGCTGCCCCACCCTTCAAACCGAAACGCATTACTGCTTCACGGCAGAAATAAGCGGGGTGGTGGTACCTACCCACGCGGACTCACAAAAGGTCCTACCACCAGTAATAAGAAGAGAAAAATCGACATAATTCCGTCCGTCTGGTGTAGTGGTAAGTGACATGGTCACTACACTAGGGGGTTGCGGGTTCGAATCCCGCCAAGGGAAGATATTTGTATGATAAATATAAATGTCTTTTCCAGGGTTATGGATGTATATTAAATATATGTATGTGTATAATAAAAATCTTACATTTATATCCGTTATCTGGTACCTGTAACACAAGTTCTTTACGAACTTATCACGGGATCAGTTAACGTGGCGTGTTTAAAAAAAATATTACTTCAGTGCGCCGCGTAGGGCACCGGTGAACTACACGGCAGTCAAAGGGTTAAGTGTCTTAAACGTTTATCAACACCCTGTTGAGTGTTGTTTTAATACCAAGAGCTGTTAATCATAATTTAGATGCTTCGTGAAATTAAATTTTATTTATGTCAATTTTGACGTGATAAAGTTTTATAAATCGATGAACACTGGCTGCACGCACGAAAAAGTGTCACGTTCCGCCTGAGCCTGAGCGTGCAAACGAGAGCGCGGAACAAGCGATAGAGAGGCACGATCGGCCCAAGCGTTGACTTGTGACACATTTATACCTCTCTTCTCGCGTGACGTAAGATCTAGCAGTTCGAATAGTTCTGCTACTGACGTTATCACGTAAAACTATCGTCCGTAAACCGACTTTACAGTGTGCTTAGTGCGAGTTTCTTAACGTTCTCGATAGCGTAAAAGTTAACCCAATTTTGTATGCAGTTGGAACATCGCCCCTAGCGGCAAACGTACGCAAACGTACCAACTACATAAAAATTTGAATTAACTGTTACGCTATCGAGGGTGTTAAAGAACTCGCACTAAGCACACTGATAACTTACTGTTTTTTTTAATAGAATATCAGACGATAATTCGTGTAATAAACACCCCGACGATCATCACCTTAGTAGTGTATGATTGCGAAATTTTTATAATACTCGTAGGGTCGGATTTAGTAAATAATTGAAAGCGAGATTCAATCGCTAAATTAGTGTCAATTATATAGTTTTTTTTCCTCTTAATTCACTTTGATTGTACAATGACCATGCTTATTCTTAATTACTTTTATTCTTCGATAATAGTTATGTGATTTTCATTATAATCGAAATCTTTTTTTTATTTTTTTTATTGCTTAGATGTGTGGACGAGCTCACAGCCCACCTGCTGTTAAGTGGTTACTGGAGCCCATAGACATCTACAACGTAAAATGCGCCACAGACCTTGAGTAATAAATATATAATAAATATGTTTGGATTTTGTTTTACAGATCAACTATATGTCTTGAAAAAAATACGGCTTTAGTTTATATGAATACAATATAAATATTAGTAGTGCTATTATTATCTTAATTAGATTTTTACGGTATTAAAAATTATGTCCATCTTCCAATTTATATCATGTCCACTCCAATGGTATAGTATAATATCATATTTTTTTATAGTATTATAAATACAAAATCATTCAACATTGTATGCTTAAAGGATTTGTTTACTTCTCATATTATATATTATATTAATATGTTTATGTAAATTTATTTTGTTAAGATTGATATTTCAATAATTAAAAATTCTCGATTGAATTACAAATTGTGTTAATTTAATGGGGAAACAAGACAGTAGGGAAGTTTCCGCATATTTTTAAAATGTTTGGTTTAGTAATTATTTTCGTTAAAGAATTTTTAATGTTAGATTATAAGATTTGTTGGAGACAAAACACGATCTATTTATTTAAGGGTCACGTCGTTTGAACATAAATAAACGAAGAGTATTATTATTGTGTATCTTATTGGTAGGCATGGATAATCATCACAGTATTTTCATCATTAGAATATTAATAGTATATTGTATATAAAAGTAGACATTATTATCATGTCAATACATCTTCATCTACATTATGTTTATCTACCTTAATAAATGTTTTGTGTAGGTATATAATTATGTTAAGAAAATGGTTTTATCATTTCCACAATGCATACTTAAAGTATTATTTTAATCATATTTTATGTCGCGCACTCTTTTCACTCATACATACAATGTTTTGCTCATCTTTGTACATATTTGATTTTATTTCAAAATCTATTTGTTTTTAATTTATTTTGTAAAGTAATAAATTACAGTAATACCACAGAGTATATTAATCATTAGATATTATTACTGTGGAATATTATGTTATACCACAGAGTCATATCTAATATCTAATGATTTTAATCACATAAGACATCATTCGTCGTGATTGATATGAAACTTTACTTTAAGTGTGTACATTTTTTGTACAATTATTTCATTACAATTGTGATTCAAAATAAAAATTAACAAATATTCCACTAAAAAATTGTGATTAAATTTTAATATATTGACATCTCATTAAACGTCTTTTGATTTTTGTAATTGATGTCTTAATGTATCTTTTGTTATTCGCACTAATATAATGTAATATTCAATAATGCTTTTTATGTGATATTGTATCCCAAGAATAACTGTTAACTGAGAATTATAATATTATTGGGGATTCTTAGAAACTAGATGTAAAGATTTTTGTTACGTAACAATAAACAAGAGTGCTGAAACAGAAAAAAATTATTATATTAGTATCAGTATTAAGACGAAATTTTATTATTTAAATGTTTTCATTTTAATGGAAATCGACAGAGGTCAGCGAATTTTTTAAATATTATCATATTAGATCTTATATCGAGGGGTGAAGAGTTATTTGGTTTAAGCGATATTTTTGAAACTTTACAGGAGAGCCGTTAAAATTTTGGACAAAATATCATAACGTAAACCTTCAACTATTTGAATGGAGTAAACTTATTATAGTTCAATAAAAAACATCGAACTGTTGATACTAATACCAAATAAAACGCACCTTTAATTGCAAAGATAAATGTCGCGTATTAATCGAAATATCGCCTAAACCACTCGATAATATATAAATACAATATATTATGATTAATTACAGACGCATTCCAAGCAAGCTGAACTTATTTTTGAAAATTTATATTATTCTCAATAAGATCGGTTACAGTTGAACAACTTTGGATTGGTTACACAGATTATACAAATGTT